AAAAGGTATTTCAAGAGTTATTTAGCTCGCAGCAAATACACAGCATCAGATTTGACCAAGCTTACAATGTACAAGTAATCACTTTCTTTTGCTCAGCGCATTTTAAAGAGTTTTCTTTTTTTCAAAATCAAGCTCGAAAGTTAGGAGGTGCGGCTTATATACGAGTGCAGCTTATACACGAGTTTTTACGGTACTTACTGAAGTATGTGTCATTGTCAAGCAGATTTCACAGTTTGCGTCTGTTGATGCTGAAGATGATCTTGTGTTTACCTAATGAAAAAACACACAAACACAAGTACTATTAGCACAACTCTGCAATACGAATTGGGAAAAGGATGGTGTATGAACTTATTTTAAGTTATGTAAATAAGCCGTAAATGAACTTAAAGGGGCTTCAGGAAATCAGTACCTGATTGATGACTGTGGAATCTAGTTTGAAGTTACAGGGCTCAAAATAATTTTCGGACTGTGGCTGGTCATGTTGACTGACCAAGATAACTTTAGCTTGGTCATGTCTTGTTTCTGACCAGTCAGATATTTTACAAAAAATTACAGTAATAATGGCCTATAAACCCAAAAAATATACTTTGTTTGCTCCAGTCGATGCTAGACTGTCTAAAAAGTGGCTTAATTAATACAAAGAACGGTTTCTGTTTCCTTGATTCTCACCCATACCAACACACAACAAATCGTCACTTTACTAGGAATATGGCCACAGCTACACAACAAGTGTTAGGAAGTTTCCTAATGATGTAAAGTGCAAACCATAAAAAAATCTAAACTCTGATGTAGTCATATTTAGAGAGAGTTTTCGTTCATGAAGAACTAATGATCACTAATCATTCAGTAGATTTTACCACTTTTGGTCGCGTGCTAAGTAACGAGTTAAAAAATAAACAACAGAGTCAGTGAGCGTTCTAGTGATTTCAATTATTTGCTTTAGGAAACAAACGTAAAAATAGATCTCAGAGTAGGCCAAAAGGAAAATATAATCTAGTAACATGCTGAAGATGAATGTCTCCTATAGTTCCAGGTATTATTTTACATAAACAAAGCCATCTTTGAATAGTCCGGGTGGTTATTGTTGATTTCTTTAAATCGATAACAATCGATATTCCTGAAAACAGGAATTATCAATGGTTATCGATTTTTGCCAAACAATAGCAATCGATAAAGAAATTTTTCTGTGAGTTATCAATTGCTGATATCAATTGACAGCAATTGGCAATTGATATCCATTGATTTCCAATATAGATTTTTATTGATTGACTATGCCTGATGATCTTGAACGCATGACAAACGGCAAGCGAACAATTTTTAAGCCGTTTGAACAGTACTTTTTCACACAAGAGATCATTATTGTATTTTTACAAAGAGACAAAATTTAAGATTTACAGTTGAGGATTTGATTTTTTTATTCAAGAATGAATAACATGACTGTGTCAACATGACATGACCAGTCAACATGACTAGTGGGTGAAGTTTTTGGCTGGTCAAGTGACCATTCTGGCCAGACATTGTCCGTTGACTGGCCATTATTTTGAGCCCTTAGTTGGGTTGATACTTCTTTGCTAGGTGTTCCTGTTATAGTCTTTCCCATAAAACTGTGAACACCAGAGAAAATCCAAACCTTTAAGTCCATTGCAGTTTCATCTTGTTGTATCTGATTGGTCGCAAAACAGTAGACATTCCAGAAATTTTCTCTGGTGTTCACAGTTTTACAGGAAGGACTGTAAATAGTCTGTGCTTGAGTTTTTAAAACCTGCTACATGCAGTCTTAACCTGTACCCTTTAATCAGAAGTAGAAACCTTTGGCTATGGTACCTTCTAATTTCATGTTGAACTAATACGTCTTTATACAACAAAGCTCTGAGTGATAAACTAAGAACATACACTGATCAACATGAAATACTGACCCTGTTACTTGAAACAGGTCTGGAGTTTGTTCTATTTGGACTAACTATATGTGCTTCGGAGAAGAGTCTGTCTTGATCTCCACTGTAGTACCTAGGAAAGCAATATCAAACAAATTTATGTGCTTTGCTTGGCTTAGTCATAACATGTTTTAGTCCCTGGTATTGCAGAGCCCTAAATTTAAAAAAAAATAAAATCCTGATAGTCCATATTTTGAATGTTGCACAATCAAACTTGTAAATTTGGTTGCCCCTGTGAATCCTTATGAGGAAGCAACTTTTTATCCAATCCCACCAGCCCCACTCAAAGTGGAAGTTTTTGTGGAGCCTTGAGACAAGATCATTGTTACTAAGGCACTGCAATTGTGATAGCTCAGTTGGTAGAGCACTGAACCAGTATCGCAGAGGTCATGGGTTCGAATCCCGTTCAAACTTGAATTTTCTTTCAGGCTTAGTTTCACAACTGCTTAAGTTGTGGGTACAACTGTGATGATCAATCATGTCTTCATATCTTTCTCCGCAGTTCAAATATATGACATTTCATATATTCACTTGCAGAAATGGGTTGGTCAGCAACATTTGAGTGTTATGAATTCTTCTTTAACAGTCAGCCCTAATGGCCAGAAACATTTCTTGGAAATGTTTATGGATTTGCAAGCACTGATATAACCAGAAAAAAGATTGCTGAACTGTAATATACCATTCATGTCAGTCTCTCTAGAATGATTGACTTGAAACCAGTTGAACACACCAAAAGTTATAAGCAGATACAGTAATAAAAATAATGCATCAAGTGAAAAACAATGTGTCATTTCTGTGTTTACCTTCCGTCTGTAGGTCTATCATATAATTATAACATGTTTTTATTCATGTGCCTCTTCTCCTGAAATCTTCGCTGTCTCAAAAAGAACCTGAAGTTTAGGATGTCAAAAAGCTGCTTACACATGTATCTCAAATGTTTGCTGCCTTGAAAATATATGAAAACTGTTTCCCTTGCTTTGCGGTAAATTCTAAGACTGACTTTTTTCCCTGTTAACAAGGGTTACAAAATCTGTGAACTGAACTGGGGTCTTTTTTTGAAACACCATAGATAATTCATTTTGCTCAACATGTAGCATTGTACCTCTTTGTAACTCGATAAATTATGGACAGAGGAGACAACATTCTCGATGACGTTAGAATACTGCGAGGAGACAAAACATCAATGTATGTAGTAAAACACACCAAGATGTTACCTTGGTTTGAAGTACAAAATTGACACAGAAGATAGAAATTTGCAGTTATAGTACATAGAGATATGTTTGACCTTCACTTTTTCTCTATTCTGTTTCCTTTCCTTTTGTAACTTATGGTAGTAAAATCACATTTCGAGATAATGCAAATTACATGCTGAATAATTATCATTACGAATGTTAGATATGTTTGTTTGATACAACGAACTGCAGAGCAGTTGTCTTTAATTACATGTGCATCAGCTTCTTGCAGGTGGTACGTTCTCACAAGAAATGAGATGCTTCTTGAGAGAAATGAGATGAGAGGTGGTAACTTACTTTTGAGTAGTACTGTTGACTGATTAAATATAATATCCTCAAAGAAAAAAGGATGGCTGCTTTATTAAAAGAAATCCAAAAAACAGCCACATAGTATCAAACATTAAAAGTATCAAAACAGTATCAAACATTAAAAGTACAAAAACTTCCAATGTTCTTTTGTGCATGACATTCCATTCAAGTAAAGTTCTTTTTCAACCCATTCTCTGCATAAAACTATCTTTGCCTCTTCTGTTTCAACATCCAAACATTGCTTAGGAAAAATATGCAGTCATCTTTTATGCAGTACAATGTTGCACTGAAGTGAACTGATTTAATATTAAATTAACTTAGTTTGTACTATCAGACTTTGTTGACCACAGAACAGTTACAGAAGTGTGATGTTATAAATGTTGGATTTAGTTTTCATTTTGAACTGGGTTGTTTGCTTTTTTTCTCTTTGGGCAACAAGGCTCTCAATATTACTAGCAAATGGTTGGCAGGTATACATGTATGGTGCATTGTCTGTCACTTTCTTGAAGCACTGATGATATTTTTTGATTTCCAGTAAGAGCATTGTTTGTCCCTCAAGTTTATTTCCCCTTTGTAAATGTCATGGTCACATGATAATCACACTACAGTGTAAATCTCTTGTCAGCAATATTCTGATTTGCAGCTGAGATTCACTCAACTATCAAATGAACATTGGAATCAAATTAAATTGTGTTGTCATTGAAACCAAACTTTAGCCAATACCTCTCATTAGAAGATATTTTGCTCTTTGTCAGTTTACAGTGCTACTGACAGTTTAACTTCCATAAATGGCTAGCTCCATATTAATGCAGGATTTTATGTTCCCAACTATCATTCAAACTTCCTTCACAAACTCATAAAAATTCATCAGGTTGGAACAAAGGAAATCATGACTGCACCAGTGTTTGCACAACTGATCCTATTTAGCATAGATTTTTAGGATTTTATTTCTCCATTTTCCTCTACTTTACTTTTGTTTGAGAAGATATATCAAACACTCAAGACTGTCTTTAACTACAGTTCCAAAGACCTCAAGATTTATCTAGAAAAAAATGCCTCCTACACATAATATGTGGTAAAAACAGTTTCCCGCATTTGATATACATGTATTACCGATCACAGAAATCTCTCTACAAATGCCAGCAAAGTCAACACTTGTAAAATTTAATAAGTAACACAGAATGATGTTGCAATTAGAGGCAAGACATCACAAGAAATGCAAAATACTAAATAAAGAACCCTTCGCTTTCATGTTTCATCACGCGATTAGAAGTTTACATAAAACTGTTGCATTTAGAAAGTTTACTATGCTGAAGAAGTAAACATGCATTTTTTGCGTTGTCCTGTAATACTTTATGCTAGACTGCACTCTTTTAGTCCAAACCCTGACAGGTCAAGCAATGTCTGTTAGTTATAATTATCATTCACTGACCCATGAATTCCAGAGTAATTTCATGTACAATGACTGCAGACAATTGACAGTCCTGTCTACGAAATTTAATAGTAACCACATTAACATTCCCATGCAATACCAAATTTTACACGAGAAAAGAATTCATTACTGAATGGAGGGAACATTCATGTTTGGGGACTTTAATACACACACTGGTCATGAGGTCATGAGAAAAGACTATATAGAACAACAGCAAGTCACAACATAAATATGAGTTAGGCTGCAGTCAATTATTCATTCATTTTCTTGGAAATCTTTGCCCCGAGACTCAGCAAAGTGTTTCAATAATTTTGTCTGCAATCTTAACCTAACTACAACTTCCAACTCTGAGGACTTAACTCCAGTGACTTACACGCACATAGTGGTACAGAGGCAGAACAAATCCCAACTAACCTTTCTAGTAGCTTTTCTTTATCCCATTTAAAATGACTAAGAAGAATCCTGGCTGTTGGTCTTGGTAGCTATTGCAACAGAAACAATGAAAAGGTTATTAATTAACTGAAAACAAAGACACTACAACTCTAACTAATGAAAGTTATGTTTCCCTCATGCTTTTTAACTAGCAAGAACAACTTTAATAATGCTCCAAAATGATATCTTTTCAAGCAAGCATTAGACCCTATTGGGGTAATATTACCTAGGGCTATGAAGCAATGTCTCTATGGAAATCAATGGTCAATATTTGTCCAGGATGGTGAACAAGGGATTTATTGTCTTGACTTTGTTATTTATTTAAGGTTGTGGAAATTTTACCTTGTACAACCAGTGGAGAACATTGGACAAGCAAATATTTAAAGCATTTTGATCGTCACATTTAATCACTGGGCCACTCATGTCTTATTAGTACAATAATTACTGTAAAAAGGCAAAACATTACTGTAAAGTTTGCTAACTGCGAAAAACATTTTTGTCACAACAGACGACAGGAACCAGGCTGACACATTAATAGTTGGTGACAAAGTATAGAATATTGTTAGACTTTTACAGGACAACATAAGTTTAATTTAGTGCAGGTACTATATTGTCCTTCAATCCTATAAAAACACTGGATACTTTGTCAATCATTAACTCTGTAGGATATCATGCAGTGTTGAATACCAATGACTGAATCTTGACTCTCTGATACAGATTCTTCCCACTTATCAATCAATTTATGTTTAGTGGTCAATGGTATGTCAATTCTTTTGAAAGAAAAATCCTCATGTATGAAACATTTTTTCTTTACATCCAACCTTTCCAAATAACAATATTATAAGTTATTTACTCCTCAACTTCATGAAGTGCATGTATGCATAGTAGCTTTCTCTTGCATTTCTAAGAACCCTTTTAGTTTTAGCTGTAAATAATCAATACAAGTTTAAGCAAGAAAAGCAGGCTAAGGCAGGATATCAGTGAAAAAATCAGTGTGAATTTAAGTGCATTTCTTCAAAATGTCCTCATCTTATAAGAGGTGATATCTTGCTTAAAACAATAGCAAGTTATCCTGATACTGCCTCTAACTTGAAAAAATCACCTAGAGTGAGTATAAACAAGGAAAAAAAACTTTGCAAGAAACTAATGTTCCTGTTCAGATTTTTGCTTAGGTCGTCAGGAAATTGTGATAACATTTCGAATTAGCAAAAAGCTAAAAATAATATTAGTAACGCTGGAAATAATAATAAGCTCAACACCAAAGTATTAAACTTACCATTCATAGCTCACGAAATAAGATTAAGAGACTTTGTATTCATACATGTAGTTAACACGGGGTTGATGTGCCCGCGAAGTTAAATTTCAGAATCTTTAACCAAAAGATCTGAACAAGAGGAGCAAAATTTTCATTGTTGATGTTTGCATTGAGAAATAAGTGAAGTCTGACGTACTTCCATGAAACCCGGGAATCTTACCTGAAAAACATTATTAACTTCGTCGATAATATCGTTCATATAACAGACTAAAGCTTCAGGGGTTAGACATTCGTAATGGAAATCGTCATTTATGTGAGGTCTCTTTGGAGTAGAGGGTTCATCGCAATCGATATCGAAGTCGCTTTCATCGCCTTGCTCGGAGCCTGATTCGTTGTAGCTATCCTCGTGTTCGTCGTCATAGATCGCATCATCGTCCTCCGAGTCCATTCTCGTATTAATAATATCTACGTGTCGGGGAAAGAGGTTGAAAAGCAGTAAATAATCGCCACAAATTTTCCAGAAGAACACTGACTTTCATTTATACGGAGGAAACCATGTACACTCTTTGGGATTTGGTCACATGATGATGCAAATTCTATTGTGATTGGTTAAAATACAATCCAATTGTGACGTCGTTAATATAAGTAATTTCTCGCGACTAAGACAGAGGTCTGGGAACAAGGAATCTGACCTCTCGCTTCGACAGCATTACAAATATACATCAGTTTTGATTTCGCTTTTAAGGGAATTGGAAATAATAATAATTTTCTTAATCATAAGCTCCTGTAAGTTATCTAAGGAGCCTTCGGCTTTTTGTTTAATTTAATAAAAATTTACTGCAGTGCAAATGGAACTCACTGTCCACGTCTCAAGATCTGCACGCGGCAAGCACACGCGGCACGGGTCTCGAAAAAGCTATGACGTAATACAATGCAATACGTTATGATGTCACTCGTGCAAGCAGGACTGCATACATGTTTCGCTAATATAGCGCTATGACGTAGCTAAGTAGGTCGGATGCTCCAAGTGAAAACAACGCTAGGGTCCGCTAGAGAATAGGATTTTCAGATCACAATTCTTGAACGATCAGAGATAATTTGCACATGGAGATAAAGTTTGTCTTAGTAATCCGTATCCACACTCTTAGGAAGAAAAAAATTTTTCCTTGGGGGCTGCGCACGGATACATGTGGCTCGTCTCAGTCGAGTACCCGCGGGTTCCCTCAGGCAATGCACTGAACAATGAAATAGGGCTCTATAATGTTCAGGAGCACTCATGGACTCACGGAAAACCGTTTTGCACCAGAATACAGGAGACCCACGGGAGGCTATTGCGATCTTGCCTAAACATGAACAGTGATAGGAGATGATGATCATTGTCTTGATAACGATAAACAAACGAGCAAACAAACAGACAAACAAACAAACAAACAAACAAACAAACAGACAAACTAACAAGGAAACAACAGCATGTCGTGTTAGGTGGTGTTTTTACGTGCAGACGTCAACTCTTGCTCTTGTTTCACACGGAAAAGAAACAAAATGCAACAGCTCTCACTTCCAGATACTAAAGGATTGACCAAACAGGTAGCATTCACGTAAAAACGTTTAGAAATCAGACACAGAAATGTGTAGCTCTTAATTGTAATGTAAGTAAGTAATTCTTTATTTAATGCGTGACCACTCCGATTCTGCGAACAGCCTGCTCGCAGACTAAGAAATATGCAGGTACTCTTGGCTCGAGCTTCGTTTTGCCAAATAATTTAATAGAAGAGTACGGTACCAGAAGTCACTTGGTGTAAATAATAATAAACCAAACTGGATGGCGACTGGCAGATTTATAAGCTGGTATGTTATCCAATAGGGCCAGGGCTCAGGGGAAGATCCAGAAATTCCAGAAAGGAGGGGGGGGGGGGGGGGGG